TCGTACTTCGTTAGAGCGACAATTAGTGCCCTAATAAGGTCATTAAGCACAATATATATTCTCCGCGGAATACCTTCCCGCCGCGGTACGTACCTAACTGCTCGATTATGGTGCTCGGCCCATTATTGAGAGAGAGAGAGAGAGAGAGAGAAGCCAGCGATTATCCTGCACGCAGGAGTCACTGGTCGGTGAATTGTTCGCTGTTCGCGAAATTCTAATGGACTCTCCGTCACTAAGCGATCCCCCCGAAATTCTGGTTCTGTGTACTGAACTTTTGATTTTACAACATAGTAATAACTAAGACAACTAAACAGGTTCGATTTCAATTCTAATAATGTAATTTACTCCTACTTCGATCCTAACGATGTCTTAAACTTCCATTTCTGCTGCTTTAGCTTCAAAATACGTTGTTCGAGGCATTGAAATTAAATCTGTAAAATTGAAAATTCAAGAGCGAAGTTAACGAGTGTCAATATCGTCAAAATAGATTTTTATTCTAATCTATAGGCTATTTATTTAATAGGCCTACTTAGATAATAATAATAATCTACTATTAATAAGTTCTCGTGCGAACATATTTGAGCTGGTTTTCCCCATCTAATGGACAACATCCGAAAACTTTCCGTTGCGCTTGATATTTTCGCTATATATAGCATTTTCGAGTAAAATATTCGAATAAAATATTCTATGTATTTCACGTAAAAACATAATGTATCATCTTATGTATACGTCAATATATGTAGCGTAGCAACCTCCCGCGAATGACTACGATTGCCGTTGTTTTCCCGATTTAAGCTAAATTTTTTATGTTCCCGCCATGTAACGTAATTTTAACTGGCACCGTCCGGATTCTTTACCTCACAAAAACCATAAGAAATGATGTCTATTTTACTTTTGCCAATACAACAGAAAGAGGCCTTTTCGTAACATTCTTCTTTTCGTTTTCACTGTTTCGGTGGTTTAAAATGACTTATTCAAGGTTGCATTGAAATTAAATCGACAAAATCAAAGATTCAAGAGAGAAGTTAACAAGTGTCAATATCGTCAAAATAAGTTCTCACTAGTCTATAGGCCATCTAAGTGGGCGTAAAATAAGAGCGTCAAAGCAGCATGAAAATTCCGACTTGGGACAATCTTTCCTCGAGTACGTCGCGCCATGAAGACGATAACCGATCGCGGTTATAACGTGAAACAGCACTAGAAATAAGTTCAGTTTCAACTCTAACAATATAGGGTGTCCTATTTTAATCTATTGTACTTTTCATCTTCGTAGGATAACGTCAAATCAAAAATTTATTTAGATAAAAGTTGTAGGGTTTATAGAGAGGGATATAGTCTGTTTCACAAGAAAGTGTACGGCCTTAATACAAAACGGTCGGCCGTAGCGCCATCTACTTTATAACATTGGAAAGCTTGGTCCGTACCTGTTTGCACAGTATATGCTTTGTTATCATTCCGACGTTATGGTTTGGTCAGGCTGGAAATTTTCAAAATGAATGCAAAGTATTTCAAGCATTACGAGACGGTGTTTTTAGTTTTGCGTACAAAAGGATCAAAATTAACGTATGCTCAGAGTTCAAAAGAGGTCAGAAAGTCAAAGGAAGGTAAGCAACGGAAGTTTAGCATCCGATTAAGATCCATGTTTGAGGGTGTTCCTATAAGGTATGATTTGGTTATCTTTATTTGTTTACTGATAACCTAAACGCTGAAAAAATGCGCTATATTTATCAAAAATGTTTGTTGACATCTGCTGAGAAATTTTGTGGAAAAAATATAAACAATTGAGAGTTTCAAGAAGATAACAAAGATATTTCTAAACATCGAAGTCGTATCCTCTGCACAGAATGGAAAGCTGAAAATTGCATCACCACAATGGATTGACTTGCATCGACCCCAAATGCGAATCCGATTGAGAATGCATGGCCTTGCGCAAAGCACAAACTAAGAAAGAAACCTATCTTTACTCTTAAGCAGTTATGGACCAGAACTAGGAAGTTATGGCGCTCGCTTGAATGTACTCAAAAACTAGTCGAAAGTATGCCAAGAAGATGCCAAACTATAATTGACAATGCAGACGACTGAATTCATTATTAAATAATTCTGAAATACCTTTTTGTATCTACTTTAATATACTAGAATCCTTTTCTTTTAGGTTATACATTCTTGATATGCTGCCGTGTACTTTCTTGTGGAACAGACTGTAAGTTGATCACTTTAATTTCGTTGTATAGTCAATATTTCGAGATTAACCTTAGTTTTTTAAATAGAATCATATATTTTTTTTTACATAAATCGATTCCTTTGTTCATTTTACATATAAAACAAAGTATTCAGGTAAAATCATCAAAAAGTGGATATTTGTCGAGATATTTTACTTCTTATTCAGATATTTTTCAGTACAAGATATAAAATATTTCATGAAGTATTTACTTTCAGATAACATCATCTTAACACTTTTCTACATAATGATACGATGGAAACTGATTACTGATATTAATCATTCCATATTGGTGCAATGCATTGATGCATTTGCAAAATGTAATGAATTATTTTTAAAATTTTTCTATGTTTGCTCACAGTGACAGGTTTCACCTGTCATTTTACGAACAAAACTTTCTAAGAAATATATTAAAGTAATCAAAGCTATCAAAAAGTGAATACTTGATGAGTTATTTCATATCTTGTATTAAAAAATATTGGAATAAAAAATAAAATATCTCAAAAAGTCATTCATTTTTCGATAATTTTACTCCAGTATTTTTATAATTCCATAAAAAAATGAAGTTGACCTTGAAAAAATGACTTAAAAATTATATTAACATTTATACATAATGTTACATACATATTCAGACATATTTTCGATTCGATCTTACCTTGCCCTAAAGATTTAAAAATCTCTACCTTAAAGATAAAAAGGTAACAGATTAAAATGAAACACTTGCGTAATTAGTTTCTATTTTGATCCTGACGATATCTTAAACTTCCGCTTTCACATCGAGATAGGTTGTTCGAGGTTGCGTTAAAATTAAATCTGTAGAAATAAAGATTCGAGAGAAAGAAGGTTAATAAATGCCAAACGTCATCAAAGTAGGTTTTTATTAATCTATAGGCCATTCAAGTAGACACAAACTATCCTTGAGAGCGTCGAAACAGCATCAAAATTTCGACTCGGGCGGAAAATGCTCCCCGAAATGTGGAATTAATGATGCAGTTATGCATGATTGAATTCAGCATGCCCTTTCGTGAAGAGGTTTCGAAGAACGCGGCAGAGAATTTTTGGCGAATTTTCGTGAAGAACGACGGTAAAGCGCGGAGAAATAAATAACGATGCACGGACGATTCCTTCGCGGATCGTTCGCGAAATCATTTTTCCGTCGGGGCCTCGCCGTTTAATTGCAGCCGAAATTAGCGCGTTTTACGCGCCGGCCTTAAACCACTATATTGCGTCCGCGGAGAGATCATTAAGCACGAGATTAAACACCGTACTACACTGGTCCCTATCCGCTCACGGCGCAGCCTCTCGATTGTAATACAACGCGAGCACATCCGCCTATCATCGCGCATGCAAATCTGCCTGCATATGACATGCCTGATGCGATTATCGAAAGCGAGGATTCTGGATCACAAGGAATCGAATTATACGGCTCGATACGCGCTATAATGAGTACGCAATTGATCCGCGGACCCGGAATACCGCGGGAAATAAGACAAAGGATGTGTCCCGCAGCGATCGAGTCGAATCGCCGAATTTAATTCGTCGAAGTCGCTGAACGCAAAAACATTGCGTAATTGTCTCAGGACAAATAGGACAGACTATTTCCACGTTTCGCATAGACATTCAAATGACGCGAACGCTCGGTGCAAATTACGTCCGAAGTGTTTATAATTGCATTAATTGAATCTTGGAAATATTATTGGCGCTTCCGAGCTTGAAATATTTGAAATAATTTAGCTGCAAAATATTCCTTGAATCTTAGAAATATGAAGGAAGTTAGTCGATATGAGCTAATTGACACTGAATCGATGATCCGCGTCCAGTCTTAATCCTTTGTATTCTGCAATAAATTCAACATTTCACTCCGAAGACTCGATAATAAAACTAAAAATACGACACGTTTGGGAATGCACTCGGCGTTGAATCTTTGAAATATTGTTAATTTTGGTGCTACTACTGGGCTTGAAATATTTGAAATAATTTAATTTCGAAATATTCCTCGAATTTTAGAAATATACAAGAAGTTCCTTAATCTTAACCCTTTGCACTGTACAATAAATTCAACATTTCGTTCGAACAATTGGATAATAAAATTAAAAATATGATATGTCCAAAACATTTAAAAATACACTTCTTGAATCTTTGAGATATTATTAGCTTCGGCACTACTGGGTTTAAAATGATTAGAATAATTCGGTTTTGAAATGACACTTGAATCTTAAAAATATAAAGGAAGCTTCCCAAGAATTAGCGCGAGTTATTATAATTAATGCTCAATCGGCAATCCGCGTTCAGTCTTAACCTTTTGCACTCTGCAATAAATTCAACATTTCATTCTAAGGACTTAATAATAAAGTTAAAAAACGATACGTTTAGGAATGTTTGAAATATTATTAATTTTACTGTTAACTATATACTCGAATCTTTGAAACATTATTCATTTTGGCGCTTAAACCGAATTTAAAATATTTGAAATAACTTAACTTTGAAATATCCCTCAAGTCTTAAAAATATAAAGGAAGCTCCCCGATAATCGATGTAAGTTGATTAACGTGCAATCGATAATCACAATCTTAATCCTTTGCACTCTGCAATAAATTCAACGTTTCATTCCGACGATTCAATGATGAAGCAAAAAAAAATTCGATTCTGAGAAAAGCAAGGAAACATTGAACTTTATCATGAAGCGTCAATATATTACCAGATTCAATAACACGTTATATTTAATAATTGAATAAACATTCATGCCGAGTGCAAAGGATTGGTAGATCTACGATCGGCTTACTTGCGAGTCCTTGAGGCCCAGCTTCTCGGCGAGCTTCTTGCGATCCGGCTTACTAATATATTTCTGCAGCTGGAACCTTTTCTCGAGACCGCGTCGCTGGAGATCCGAGAAAACGGCTCGCCTCATCATCCCCCGGCGCGGCTTTCCGCGTGCGTTCGTCGCCCACGGAAAAACCAGGCCGGTGCCGGAAAAGTCGCCAATACTGCCCTGAATGGCGCCCGGAAACACGGCACCTCCGCCGGGTGTGCCAGGATGATGACCTCCAGTACCGGAACCAGCGACTGTCGATGGAAAGCATAAAGTGATTCGACACCGCGTTTGGACTCTAGTTACCGAGTGTTTCGTTCCGATGCTTATCAATTTAACATATTCGTGAATAAGCAACATATACACACATACACCATTTGCACACGATATAAACGATCTATTTTCACGGTTGGAAATATAGTAAACATTAGAAAAGTCGCACTCTCATAAATCTCAGAAAGTATCGATGTGCGGAGAACATTCGGGCGCACTGTGAGGAAAGTTCCAGTCATTTTCATCCTCAACTCTATCCGAGTAGAAATGTATCTTAGTTAGCCTGAGTTAAAAGCTAGTAACTAACTAAACAGATAACTAGCTAATACTAGATTAAATTTTCTAGCTCGTTACTGGCTGATTATTCATTAAAATTTAGAATTGGTTTTATAATCTAGCCGTTGTCTATAGTCATTATATATCAAATATAATAAACTACATGCGCTACTTCTATTCCATAATATACAGAGTGTCTCATTTTAATGAGAACGGTGGAATATCTTGAAAACCAAACAATTGACAAAACGGTGGAATATCTTGAAAACCAAACAATTGACAAAAAAAATGGTTTAGATAAAAGTTGTAGGGTTTGGAGGGCTACACAAGTTTATGATGTTAACTTCGTTGTATAGTTAATAATTTAAGATCATTCCAAAGTCAATTTCACTTAAATGGAATCATAGATTTTTTTTTTACATAAATCCATTCCTTTATTCATTCCGTATTTAAAAGTATAAGGGTAAGATTATCGAAAAGTGAATACTTTTCGAGATATTTTATTTTTTACACTTTAATGTTTTATTTGATATGAAATATCTCATAAGGTATTCACTTTTCAATAACATCACCTTAACACTTTTGCATGTAGAATGACAGAATGACAGGTGGGAATCGATCGCTGTTAGCAAACGTAGAAAGAACTTCGTTTCCAAGATATTCCGCTACATTCATTAATGACATCGGAAGCGAGAAAACGCATAGCAAAATGTTTTGCATTATATTTTCAAATAAAAAGATATACTCACAAAGTGACATTTGTAATCGTTTCAGCACACTTGTAAAATTGAAGGAACACTTTTCTCTTACTCAAACAATCAATAAATAATCGTAAAATTAACTTGACACGGAATCTTCTTTTCCAACTTCTTTTCTCATGATTTTATCAATGTTAATTTTACTACTCATTGATTGTTCGAGTAAAAGAAAAGTATTCGTCCAATTTTACAAGTTTGTTGAATCGATCACAAATGTGATTTTGTGGATATATCTTTTTATTTGAAAGTATAACACAAAAAGTTTTGGTATGCGTTTTCTCGCTTCTGACATCATTAAACAAGGACAACGACTATTATTACGAGGTCATGAAAGAAAAACAGAAATAAATGTTACACATTATTGCAATTAGTTATGATTTTTCATCTCGTATCTATAATTTCTTTTGTTTAATCATCAGCTAATTTTATTTATAATTATTTATCTAGCCATTACCTAGCCACTGAACTACAGAAGCTAGCTAGAGAAATGCGTTACATTACTAACATAAAAAAAGGTATGCATTTTAGGTGATTTGGGGGGCACGCGGGATCGTTGGGTTCGTTTTTTCTTCACTCGATTTCATTTGCCGAATCCGTAAAATATAGTTAAAATAGTCTTAGTATCCAGAAAAAATTTTGAGACACATTTTAAACAGAAGAAAGTAACGGTTGATTTTATCAGTTTATCGAACCATGTCTATGAATTTCTCTCAATCTGTTTCTATTAAAACCGTGATTCTTATTTGTATTGTGGGATAAATAAGATTTCGTAATGAAGGCTATTATTGCAGAAGGTTTATGAAACAGAATATGATGTATAGCAGGTACGCAAAATTGATTTTTGTAAAGTGCTTGTTATGTCAGAAATGCTTTTCACACGTTCCAGTGTACTATTTTTAATTCTGATTTTTTTACCTTACTATTTAATTCTGATTTTTTTACCTTACTATTCTATACTAATCTCCTTACTATTCTATTCTAGTCATGGATAGATGGACTTTAATGGGTTAATCCAATACATAATATTTCGCTTCTCATAAACGTTCTACAATAATAACTTTCACTTATTTTATTTATCTTCACAGAATGGTTCAACAATGTAATAAAATCAACTGTTGTTTTCCTCTGTTTGAAATGTGTCCCACAATTTTCCCGGATACTGAAACTATTTTGATTATGATTTTCGGATTGAGCGAATAAAATTGAGTGAAGAAAAATGAACCCAACGATCTCTATGTGCTCCTTAAATTGTCTGAAATGCATAGTTCCTTTTATTTCCGCATAGCTAGACATACACACGAGGTTCAATTTCTACTATAGTATATTTTCTTCTGGTTTTAACTTAAATAAACAGCAGTAACAACATGTAAGGTTAATTCTCATTGACGCTATAATAAAACACATTAGGAAAATAACTCTACCGACTGTGTAATTCTTCAACTCATGCGGGGTTATTGTTGCAAATATCAAAAGTTTGTTCTCTCAGTGTGTATTTTTTCGAAAAATATAAGGACCGAGTATTTCGCCTTGTCACTGAACCGTGACATTTTCAAACTCGCCCGAAAATTCCGCGACATATATATATATTTTTTTTTGTCGTATATATTTATAAATATTTTTCTTTTGCTGTGAGTGAAACACAACGTGAGAAGACGCCCACGCGAGAGGGCAGCAACGCGCGGCACGAGGGAGGGAAAAACGCGAAATCGTACATATATATATACGACCGTGTTCACGCGTTTATTCGCCCGCGAATTCGCCCAACTGGGGGCACACGGTCACGATTGTATCAAAGTCATCTAATAACAGACGGGCAATTGAATCTCCAGATCGTGTCTGCGCGATATTGCCAAGCTGAGCATGACGGTATTATCTGCACCGATGATATTTGCACGCACTTGTTGCATGCGTGCATTTTGCCTTGTGGCGGAGCATGTACATAATATGCTAGTGCTTTCACTGCACTTCATATGCACTCCATGTCCCATACGAGCCTACCTATAACAAGATATTCGATAAACCTGTGTGTATGCCCCCGCGCGCGCACGTGGACCGCCGCCGCCGCCGTCACGCGTTTATACGCGCACTGGCGCCATATGCGGAAGTTTCGGTTTTAAATGTTCATCGGGACCGTGTTTCCGCGTCCGCGCTTGTTTATTAACTGGCACGTGGAGTATCGTGCGCGCCGGCGAGCGAGTGGGCGCGCCCACGGACGAAATAACAAGTGAGTGCATGAGACTCGACAACGAGAGAGAAAAAAAAGAAATAAAATACAACACCTATATCGATCCCGCATATCGAGATATCGCGTCTCGCGTCGTGAGTACAAGGAACAACAGCGTCTACGCAAAAAAACATGCTGTTGTATGATTAGCCGCAAAAAGTTGTAACACTTTTTCGATAAATTTCGGAACGCATATGGAATGTCTGATGGAAGAATTTCTTTCTCTGCATTCCTCAGGAAAGATGTATTTCCCTAATGAATATGAGATGTGTCGCGAAACTCGTCGAAAGAAAAGAGTGGTAATTTTTTTGTGACTGACCACATATACTGAGAGAAACCCCACTAAAATTATGGCCATCTTCGGCGCCAATTCTTATATCCCTTTCTGATTTTAACCCGAAAAATAATCGTAGAAACAGTAATCAGAGGAAGAATAACAGTCGATTCGGCGGAATCGACAGTCACTTCTATTCAAAAAAATAATGCGCCCGGTGAATACATTTTGCGTTTGGGCAACAATACATTGCATTGATATAGTTGCTGATCAAATTGCAATCGTTGAATCACTCGATAACTTATTACAACTACGAGTATATAATTTGTTCAGCGGACTAAACGTTACGCTTGAAAAAAATCTTATTTGTTTGCGCAACATTTCGTTGATCCTACCATTTTTTTCTCAGTATATGCGTATAGGGTTATTATTATTGACATTATATGATACTAGGTTACTAGGAAAATTATTATCCCAACTGTAATTTTTTCACTTACGTGATTATATGCATAATGCCAAAAATTGTTTTCTAAGTGTATCGATAGAATTAGTCGACAGTGCCATAATTCGAATAAATCTTAATTCAAAAGCAATGTTATTGAAAGTTATTGAATGCTCGAGTTATTAAGACAATGTGTGATGCATTAGTTTCAACAATATCGCTATTAAATCAAGAAGATTTATTACTCTAATTATGGTACTTGGTTTTTTTTTTACCAATCCTACTTATACACAATTTTTTTAGGAGCACATGTTTCTTTCTTTTTCTTTCTCCGCTTCTGCCCTCTTTCTCTTTACCTGTCAAGTATGGACCTCTGTAGAACAGTTGCTGCAGCGTGTGATGGGCGTTCGGCGGCAAGTGTCGCTGAGGCGGCTGATGACTAGGCCTGTGATAAGGGTGATAAGCTGCCGGCCTCGCGATTGGCTTGGCGATATTGTAGCCCGCCGAGTTCTGCAGGTTTTGTAAGAAGGCGGGTATTGCTTCCGGCGGAAGTCCTTGAAAATTGTCTGTGCAAATAAACACACACATTATACGTCGAGATGCGATCGCAGAAGTCACCTCTGCGTCCATATTTCCGTCGTAATATCGTCGCGAAAATTTCACGTGTTCTATCAGCGAAACAGACGAGACGAAACTTCGCTCGTCGCATAGACGGTTCCGAAAATAAATGTAAATTTCAGGGTGCAACACCAAGCCGGCAGCTGTTTTCGTCTCTTAAGATTTCGTACTTTTTAGTAGCGCATTAAACAACGGCTTTAAAATTCGTCTTAATATCAGCAATCGTTACTTGAAACTTGATTCACGCGAGATACTCAAATTTTAATTTGGAATTAGATCTGAGTTTTTCAATTGAATTATATTATGTGATATATGTAACATTGCATTGATAATCGCGATTCATTTGGAAAACTTACCTATAGTTTTCAAGTCTCGGTATCTCACGTGAAATAAATTTCAAATAAAAGCTATTAACACGAGACTAAAGCCCGTATTGATAGTCGTTACTTGAAGCTTGTCTCACGTTAGATATTTAGATCTGAATTAAGAATTAGATTTGAGTTTTCCATTTAAATAATAATATATATGACGTTACACCACGGAGAAAAATAATGCAGAGGGACAATAGATTTGGTGCGTTGTCGTAATAAATAAGTAAATATATATGGTGTTTCTTATTCTGCAAGTACCGTCCAATATTATCCAATAGGAGTCGATTCTTGTGGTCATTTTATGAAGAAATGAATATACGTTCGATCCACGCAACGATCAAGAAGCGCGCACAGAAAAAGATGTCAGGACTACATAAATGTAATTCATTGTTTTACAGCTGCTTAATTCAAGTAATATTTTCATTAATTTAAATATATTTTAATAACTTATAGTAAATAATTACTTGAGCGCAGTAATACCTTAATTTGTAGATGAATTATTGTATGTAAGTATAAAGTGGTTCTGAATTTAAAAGAATATTTGTTAAAATTGTGTATTATTTCTTTTCCATTGAAGAAACTAAGTGGTTTTAAATTTAGATTTTTCTATCTAGTAACTAAATATTTCCCTAAATTCTGAAAATCCAATATTACAAATTTAATATTTGTCACAATTGTTTTAAAACGTACAAATAAATGTTTATTTATTCGAAGAAAATATATTGCACATAACCAATATTATATTCCTACTTCTGGTAAATATTTGCGAAGGAATATCGCAATAACTATTTTACTTAAATCAAATAAATATTATTTGAATTTGATAGTACTTTTTTTCAGTGCTCAAAACTATCCCTCACCGTCGCATCTCGTCATACATTCATACTAATTCATGCGAGGATTGGGAGACGCGAACCGGCTACGCCGATTAAATATGGAACTCGCCGGGGTTGTTTCACGGTGAATTGTGCCTGCGGGGCGGCGGAGGATTTACGTGCGAGCGAATGCCTAAGTCGTCGTCGTCGTATTCCGTCGTGTTGCATAATTCGGCCGACACCCTCGGCCGAGGGACCCTCCTTAACTGCTTCAGGCGGAGCTCGATCTCTCGTCGGCGCACGCTTCAACACCTCCGTCGCGGAGGTAAATAGCCAGACATTTGTGCAATCGGCTGCTTTGCCAGCGGAAGAGCGGGGATGGGACACCTTGGCTCGTGTCTCGGGGTATTGCGAAACGCGACGAGGTGTCGTATTTATTCGTGACACGCAGTTTCGATGAGGCTTGGTGAAAATCATGCACGGAAGAAAAAAGTTTGGTTGTATTAACCAGAAAAGGAACAACTAGATGCATTTTGATCGAAGAAAACAGAATTTCTGGTTACAAGAACTATATCTAGGTCATAAAAACCAGGAATTCTGTTTCCTTCAACCAGAACGCATCTGGTTGTTCTCTTTCTGGTTAAGGCTAGATTTTTTTTCCGTGTGTTCTTTTAAAGCAGCTACTGATAGAAAATTATAGTTAATATACAAACGTACCTTTTAGCCACATAAACAGTCGGAATAATAAGAATAATTTTTCTAGTAAGTATTACTAGAGTCACTATAGTCAGTGATAATAACCTTACATGCATGTTGCTACAATTGTAAAATATGTCTGGCGCCGAAAGTAACTATAATTTTCTATCAATGTCGGCCTTTAAGAAGATGCCAAAGTCGATGACGAATTTGATAAGCCTCGATAACGTAGAAGCAATCCTTCAAATGTTATGTTACATAAACATTGACACTATCACATTGCTCTTTTTGTATATCTTGTACATTGAAAAAAAGATATAGTAATAAGTACTAAAATTTGGTGAATATTTGCCGATAAAATGCTTGTTTATTATAATCAATTAATTTAGTTACGTATATTAAATATACGATTTGCGGAACTACATAATAATGTATACACAGTATACGGAACTAAATTATTTGGTTGCAGTAATTAAATATTTGGTTGGCAAATGTTCATCAAATTGTAATATTTATCAACAAATCCTTTCTTTCAGTGTACACGTGAATTTTGTGTAAATGTAAGTGCGGTATAAATGCGAATGAAATGAATGTACATTGCTGTTTTATCATATCTAACGGGAGATCTAGAACCAAAATACATAAAAACTTGTCTGCAAATTTTTCGCATCTTTTTAGATCTCTTAATTTATTGGAAAAGATATTAAAAATGTTCTTTGAAATTTCCCTGATTGCAGCATTGACACATCCCGTATATATGCAAGCTGCGGATTTCTGTATTAGGTAATTGACAGCTGGAAATGTTAATTTTTGAAATTTTGTGTCGTTTTCGCCACACGTCGAGCGATACTCCAATTTATTCTCGCGCGTGCCTTTACTGCGTAAAAGCAGCGAATTTATAATTCTGTGCAACCAAACAACGTAAACTTTGCAAAACTAAGTCAGTATTTTGCCGGCAAAGTTTTCAAGTATGACATAATCGTAAGAGCCAAAGTACGAATCTTCTAGTGCTGTTTAATATCAATATTATTATTATTAATATATACGCGCTATTCTTCGATCCACGTAGGGAAGAATTTCCCAATTCGTACGAGTCATTTAAATCATACTTCACTTTTTTCTATAATTATTGAACATAAGTGCGATCTGATAGTAAATACATAAAATAAATGAGCGATGAAACATATAACCAAAACTTGAACGAATTGCATTGTGTTTTCTTTGTGTGATGTAAACAATTTTGGCAACTCGCTTCTACAAGGAAAATCAAACTTCCATGTCAAATGCTCGAATCCTATATTAATATAACTTCCTGTATTAATATAATTCCCCGTTAATCCAAGTCGGAATTTTTTTATTCTATAGATTTTTATTCCATAAGCGTTGCGAAAAATCCAGTGCATGCATTAATATATGTCCGAGCATTGTATTCTCCCGCATATGTATTAATATTGATAATATTAATATTAATATTAAGTAACACAAAAAAATCCGTGCTTTGGCTCTTAAAGACTGATACTTCTTTTTTCTTTGATTAAAATAAGCAAAAGCCGGTTCACATATAATATTTTAAATTCTTTTGACCCTTTGAGTGTTGAAGGTGTATATATGAACTCGCTATAAGCTACTAGCGTTTTTGAAGGCTCTCATTTATGTTCGTTCTCTCAAAACGAATCACAATGATAATGTGATAATGTTTCCAATTAAATCAATAAAGTATATTTCACCTATATCAGTGAGTATTCATGAATTTTCAATGAAAAAACACCTCCGCTTAACTCCCACAGTCTTACACTTCATTAATTTTAGCTAGCAGAAGTAAAATTTCTCCGCGAAATCTGTAGTATTCCATTAGCTACTATTAACTACATCCTTTCTCACTGATTGCAGTGTTAAATCACCGAAATCACTGATGATACACTGATTCCATTTTAGAGAACACTTTGTTAGCAACAGTTTTGGTTGAAAAATTTATTATTTTAAGTTTGAGATATTAATTTATTTCTGGTCAGCTTACTCTTACCAGTCGCAAACGATGCGTTCGACAACTTTACTAAATTCCGGCCACATAGAATGCTTCATTGTTGCTCTCTTCGCACTCCAACGTTGACGAAGACAGTAAAATCGGAGGGGAAGCTTCTCGTGGAATCTCATCAGATTCAACGTACGTCGACGATAGTAGAAAACGAAATATCCATGTTTTCCTACGCGCTTTATAATGAATTAAAACTTTCTTCTGTTCTCTCACCACGATTCTCTTGATCGACAATACATCAGAAGCCAGAAAATATAAACATTAATACAGGTCCAAATCTTAAAATGTTTGCAATTTTGATCAAAATTTTTCTCTCAGTATATGACATATCTTTTTATTCTAAATTTATATTATATTTATATTATTTCAGGCAAGAATATGAAATGTATATTTTCTCGCTTCTGATATTAATAATCAAGATGGCTGCGGCGAGGAGATAGGAACCTTAAAGAATTCTCGATCGACTTCGCCTTAACGAAAGCCAGACTCAAGTTTAATCGCCAATAATCTTCGTGACTTCTCTCGAGGTACGTCAATGGAATGAATACCTCAACAAGGCGAAGTTCGCTCGAGATTAAACCACGAAATGGTTTAATAAGGTCGGTCGTTCGCGTAGAGATTTCTCATCGTCTCGCGACGGCATTTCGTGCATTCCCCCAAATACTGATACGTCTCCCGTGCGAGAAGATTTATCGACAACGCGGTGCGGAAGGAAGTTAACTGCGTGTGTTGACGCGTACCCTCCGCGTCGCGCACAGATCGGCAGTCCCGAGCATGAAAGAAAATTCGGACTCTCCGACTTCTATGACCCCGACGAGAGGTCACCCTCCGTCGGCGAACTCGTCCACCCATCCACATTAATAACGCCTAAGAGGGCCGGTCGCCCCATTGCGATTTCCAACATGTTTTTTTGCAGCATCGTGCACCGCCACGCCCAGAGAGAGAGAGAGAGAGAGAGAGAGAGAGAGAGAGAGAGAGAGAGAGAGAGAGAAGGAGAGCGCAGCCTCGCTAAAAAAGTGACGTGTTTGAAA